TATTCATGAATACACCTTTCATTTTTTCTTTCTTCTTAAAATAATGAGACACAGGTCAACTTTTATCAAATTTGACATAGAGATCTCTTCCATCTTTACCCAAACAAAAGTGATGAAATTTGGCCAAGAGACTCAAGGCTCTATTTGAACTTTGCATCTTCTACGCCTCAACTTTTGGTCTCTGATGGAGAAGGCAGATTCTCGTCCTAAGGTCTTCAAACAAACCAAAGCATCCCCCGGCACCCCTTCCACAGACAGCCGGTCCAAAGCATCAGCACCTTATCTGCAGACTCCTGGTCTTGATTTTGCTGAAGAATTCTCATGTACTTCTCTAAAGGATTTTCACCACAGACAGGCTGGTCTTTCGTTTCTTCAACGGTCATTTCCATTTCTTTTTCCATTTCAATCTTCAATGATTTTTCAATAATCCTCTGTGGAATACATAGGCACCAGCATAGGAAACACAAATATATCACAACAACTTTTAAACGTTCAAAAATGCATAGTAATATAATCCTGATCCTGTTAAGTACAACCTGCATGTCAAAGAACAATTTCCTTAATTGAAGTCATTGCCATGCAAGAGAAACCAAACAAGCCAATCTCAATGAAGGAGGGGATTAATTCGCCTCATGTGTCCTGTGCTTTAGGCCAAATTAACCAGGAGTCCAAGAACATCCAATATGGAAGATTTCAAGACGACTCAGCAAGCATATAAAGTGACAAGAGTAATCCACACGGCTGGAACCACAATCAGGACCAAGAAGGCCAGAACAAACCCAGAGGAAGGATGAGGACAAGGGAGCCCCTGGAAGGCACCAGTGACCAGCAGTCACTTCCCCTGGGTTACTCTCATCCCACCTAGCTGACCTCAGAAGCTTTCTTTAAAGCCCATTTAAAAAAGGCAAGATCTAGGGGCGCCTGGGTGGCTCGGTGGGTTAAACGTCTGACTCTTGGTTTTGGCTCAGGTCATGATCTCATGGGAGTTCAAGTCCCGAGGTGGGCTCTGTGCTGGCAGTGCAGAGCCTGCTTGGGCTTCTGGCTCTGCCCCTCCCCCGCTCATGTGCGTGTCCTCTCTCCCTCTCACCCTCTCTCACAAGTAAACTTTATTTATGGCTTATTTCCAGGACCAGAGGAGAATGCATGCCAATGAGCTCGTAAAAGCTCCTCTTTGTTGTGAAACTCCTAAGGTCTATGTTATACACAACCTCTCTCAGTCTTTTAAAGGAAAGGAGATTGGGACGCCTAAAGCAGGCTTTTAGTAATACTAAACCTACTAATACTAAGATTTGTATGGAACCATAAAAGACCCAATAGCCAAAAACAATCTTAAACAGCAAAGCCGGAGGTATCTCAAGCCCAGATTTCAAGATAGACTATGAAACTGTAGTAATCCAAACGGTATGGCACTGGCACAGACACACCGATTAATGGAACAGAATAGAAAGCCCCAAAATAAATGCACACTAATATGGTCAATTCATCTACAACAGAAGAGGCAAGAATATACAGTAGGGAAAAGACAGTCTCTTCAATAAATGGTGCTGGGGAAATTGGACCACATTATTATGTTTATTTTGAGAGAGAGGCGGGGGGGGGGGGCAGGCAGAGACAGAATATAGGTGGGGGAGGGGCAGAGAGAGACACACACACACACAGAATCTGTAACAGGCTCCAGGCTCTGAGCTGTCAGCACAGAGCTCGGTGTGGGGCTTGAACCCTGAGCGTGAGATCATGACCTGAGTTGAAGTCGGATGCTCAACCGACTGAGCCACCCAGGTGCGCCTGAACCACATTCTTAAAAACAAGCTCAAAAAGATTCAAGACATCAATGTGAGAAGTGAAACAATAAAACTCCTAGAAGAAAGCATAGGTAGTCATCAGACATTGGCCTTTGACATTTTTCTAGATAGATCTCCTGAGGCAAGGGAAACAAAAGCAACAATAAACCATTGGGACTACATCAAGATACAAGCTTCAGCACAGCAAAGGAAACCATCAACAAAATGAAACAACAACCTACTGAATGAGAGAACATTTTTGTAAGTGATATATCCAATGAAAGGTTATCCAAAATATATGAAGAACTTACACAATACCAAAGAAAGAAAAAAAAACAAAACCCCAAACAATCCGATCAAAATGGGCAGAAGACCTGAATAAACATTTTTCCAAATACATTCAGATGACCAACAGAGACACGAAAATATGCTCAACATCAATCAGGAAAATGCAAATCAAAGCAATGAGATAGGACGTCACACCCATCAGAATGGCCAAAATTGAAAAGGCAAGAAACAACCAACCCACGCTGGCGAGGATGTGGAGGAGTCGTCACTGGTGCAGCCACTCTGAGCAACAGAATGAAGGTTCCTCAAAAGATCGAGAATACCATTACCACATGATCCAGTGAATCCGTAACCGGGTCTTTATACAAAAAAGCCCCAAAACGTTCATTTGATAAGATATATGCACCTCTCTGTTTACAGCAACTTGATTTACCATGGCCAAGATATGGAAGCAACTGACCGTCCATCCAAAGACAAATGGATAAAAGAAATGTAGTATATACATACAACGGAGTATTAGTCATAGAAAGGAGGAGATCTTGGCATTTGCGACAATAGATAGACCTAGAGGGTAGGACGCTAAGTGAAGTCAGAGAAAGACAGATACCCCATGATTTCACTTATATGTACAATCTAAAAAACAAACCAAAAACACCCAGGCTCAAATACAGAAAACTGGTGCTTGCCAGCAGGATAGGTGGGTGGCGGATGGGTGAAATAAAGGGCGTTGAGAGGTACAAACGTCCAGTTATAAGTTACAGAGACGTCAAGTACTGCATAGAGAACACAGTCCGTAATACTGCAAGAATGTTGTATGGTAAAAAACCAAAACCAGACAAAGTTGCCCGCCACTCCTAGGACTTTGGGACACAGCAAGGACCTCCCTCCCTGAGAGCAAGGGACTCAGGAAGGGCACCGTGCCAACGCCGGTAGAGAGAAGTGGGTTGCACCGATCATTACCCGCTCTTGATCCAGCTTCTCTAGTTCTCTTCGCTCCCTTTCTAAAGCTTCTTGCAGTTCACTCTTCCTTATTTCTTTTCTTTCCTTTTGTTCTGTCATGTGCTTTTCCCATATTTTTTCTTCTTCCTTCTGTTCTCCCATTGGTTTCTGATCTAGACCTAATGGGACAGAAAATAAAGAGCAAGTCGTTTCCAGCATCAGATTTTTCAGATGTAAGCAGGGACCCTTCCCAAGACTCAGGAAGAATCTGCCGGGTTCTCAGAGGGCTCTTGGCCTGTTCCATCTGTGAGCCCCCAAACCCACTCCGATCACCGCGCCCCGCCTTTACTTGGCTGAGATGCAGATAAGCCACCCTGACCACGATGACTTTAGCTGCCTCCCATGCCCCCCCATCACATCTTCTGCCCCGTCTTTGCCCACCTCCTCACTGCTTCCCCAGGCAAGCCCTACTTTTCCACTTCTGCCTCTGGTTAGGAGCCTCCCCCCACCTCTAGGATTCGGACTTAACCGTTAGTCGCTATTCATTAACACAGCCCCCCGCCGTCTTTTTTTAAGTATACTTATTTGAGAGACAGAACGCAAACGTGTGTGTACACAAGTGGGGAAGGGTCAGAGAGAAGGGGAGAGACAGAATCCCAAGCAGGCTCTGTGCGGTTAGGACAGAGCCCCACGTGGGCTCAAACCCACACAGGAGATCATGACCAGAGCAGAAACCCAGAGTTGGATACTTACCTGATTGAGCCCCGCCCCCCGGCGCCCAGACACAGCCCTCTTGTAACTCCCCGCCTTGCTCCCGTGCAGGGGTGCTGCAGTCTCTCCTGCACCCCCCATGGGACACCACCACACCCTCCCCCTGGTCTAGCCAAGTAGCTGCCGCCGCCCACCTCCGCCGGGCTGATCCCCCACCTTTCCCACACCTCCCTCTCCGGTCCTGACCTCTCTCCGTGTTTGCTCACACCCATGTTTCTACCGGGCTCCCGGCCATCGACACAGGAGATCCTGCAGCCCTGGCTTCCTAGCTGAACTCCTCATCCTTGTCCCTGGAGTCATGCTCTTGCCACACCACATCCACTCGGTCACCAGGGCTTACACTTTCCTCTTCCTCCTCCTGCTGCAGTTCAGGTCCTCATCACTGTTCACCCGGGTGGCCGAAATCACTTGGTCAAGGGTCTCTGTGACCAAGGTCTCTCCAGGCAGCCCACCTTCACCTGCGTGAGCAACCAGTCACTTCCGGATGTGCTGTGCACACGCTCCGCTCCGGTGGAATCCAAACCCGTGGCGGTCGAGTGCCCAACTGCCTTTTCCCTTCCTGCCTGACCTCCTGGATCACCTGAACGTTCACATCCGAAACCTCCCGTCTAGGCGCTGGCACGCACACGAGTGCCCGAGTACAGCGCCGTCTGCCCTGCTACCCGCTCTCACGTCCTCCTCAAGCAGATGTGCTCCCTTCCCCCAAGCCCCACCCAGGATGCCAGCCCTCACCTGAATGCCACATCTTGTGTGAGCTCCTCATTCCTACAGTGACAAGTGGCCACTTCAGCACCATATTCACACAGTACCTTGTACCTGACTTGTCAAAACCCATAAGCACCTGTCTCCCTACTTCTGTCCCTTCCGGCCAAGGTCCGGGTTTGAATCGCCTGTTCTCTAGGTTGACAACACACGTCCCCACGCCTCACGTGTTTAACTTGATCTCAGTTCCAGAGGACTACGCTGACCTCTCTCCTCCAGCTCTGGTCCAGAACCTCAGCTTTCCCAGCAAGGCTAACACACAGACAAGCACAGATTCACGACGGGACTTCCAGCCTCATGGCTGTGCTCTAGTCACCAACCAAAAGTTAGCATCTCCCACAGGAGAGCAGCAGCAGTCTCCACTTGATCCTGGTCATGAAATTCAAACCCTAGAGGCGGCCACTGGCCACTTGCACCGGCAGAAACGCAGCCTCTTCGCTGGAGGCACGTCACTCGTATGGAGCGGCGACCTCAGGGCGAGGATGCCGTTTGGGGGAAGATTTCAAGAGACAATGAGGAAAGGGCTCCTTCGCTGCGAGGTGTACTTGGTGGCTCCAGAGTGGCAGAGGGAAACCTCTTCGGATGGAAGAGCGAAGAAAAGCACGGTTTCCACTGGCACAAAGATAGCAAGTTTTAGGCTTTACCTCCCTCGGCGCCCAAAGACGTGAAACAACAGATCTGAGAGTTCCTCAACGATCAGAATGTAACCCTACCGCTTAATAGTAATTTAAGAAGCCGTTTATTATAATGTACTGTACTTGTCAGAAACAGAAGGCCTGTCAACTCAGGTCGTGTCCTTTATTCTATTGCATTATTTCTATTCCCTATTCACTCCAGTGTCTGCCCATCAGAGCTGCTCTAGGGCACCAGTGCCCCCATCAGCTGTCCTATCGGATGCCATCAGCCATGGCCTGCTGACTGTCCTGCTAGAAGCTGCATGAAGCAGGGGCAGCTTCCAGAAAAGCATCCAATATGCAAAAGGCTCTTGATGGAGTCTGAGTGAGCACTTTCCAGAAATGACTTGCTCTGGAATCAGCAAAAACCAACCCTCTTGCTCCTTTCAGTGATTCCTCATATTCCCAACTGCGCCTGAAACCAACAAACCGGTTTCAAGAAGCATCCCATGGGTTTTAGGGATGATGCTCTGCCAATGTTTGGGAAGGACCTACAGGTGGTTTTACTTGAGGCATTTCCTTTCACCTCTGAGGCTAAAACACTCTGGTTCAAGGAGAAAAGGACACGCCTGTTGGCTGAGCCCTGGGGCAGAGCTCAAATGTCTCCACTGGGGAGGGAAGCAGGCAGTCTGGAGAAGGGAAGAGGAAAGACCAGGTGGGCCAGGCCAGACAAGTCTGACACCCAGTTCTCCTCCAATGTCATCAGCTTCCCTGAAGATTGAAGTAGATCAACTTTAAAAAAAGAAAAACCTTTATTTTGAGAGAGAGAGAGTGTGAGGTGAGGGACGATGCAGGGGGACCAGAGAATGCCAAGCAGGCTCCAGTTTTCAGAGCAGAGCCCGACGCAGAGCTGGAACCCACAAAGCGTGACATCATCACCCGGGTGGGACTCAAGAGTCAGACGCTCAACCTACTGAGACTCCCCCCCACCCAGGCGCCCCGGGAAGGTTTTTCTTGTCCGACTTTAATGCATGGAAGAAGCAAATAACTAGAAAACGAAGTAGTATTAACTATCACTAATTCGTTATTTTGTGAGTTCAAACAAAGCAAAACTTACCGGGGTGGCAACAAGCGAGAGGTCCGGCAGACACCGTGGTGGCGGCAGCACCCACATGAGGCACGTCGCCAGCAGGATGGAGGCCGTCCACCTCAAACTGCCTCGGCGTGCTCCCTGCATCTGCAAAAGGTGCGAACGCGAGTCCTCAGGAACCACAGCGAGGGAAGGGCGTGCGGCACGGCGGGGGGACCGCTCGCTCCCAAGCATCAAGTCTCGGCCAGAGCAGCCGGGCCAGCTCTAGAGTCTGCATCACAGCCGCCCGTCTGCCCGCTTTCACGTCTGCAAGTGTTCTTTAGCTTTGAGAATTACATTCATTCACGCGATCAAATCAGTCACCCAACAGGAAAATCAGCTGAGTCCCAGAACTCACCTGGTTGCTGCTAATCGTTTGAACTGTATTTAAAATCATGATTTAATGAGCCTAACAAGGGGGAGTCACAGGGATTTTGAAAAGTTTACTAAGCCATTTAAATGTTCAAAATATTCTACCTTTCACACTTAGCGATGAAGCTCACGAAACACGATGACAGCTTATATACAAAGCGGGACCATGGCCAGGATACCATTTCTAGACTCTTTAAGCTTGTAGTATTTTACCTCTATTCTTTAATTAAACAGCAGGCTTTCTAAATCTGAGGCAGTCAATAGAATCAGTGTAGTTCAAACAAAACTAACTTAGCATGCTCGTGTTCCATAAAAGGAGAAACAAAAAAAATCATTTTAAATCTAAGGCAATCCCAAAAGTGGTAAACTGAATTGAGGATTCAATTAGAGGCTTAGCGCCCACTCCGAAATGGTGAACTATCCAGAAACATTTAACGAACCGAACTCCGAACCCCCCACCCCCCGAAAATCTTTGTGATTTAAAAATGAGGCAGTATGTTAATATCTGCGGTTTTACCACAAAAATCAAAATGTCCTAATCTGTAACAGCTTCGCTTTTTATGACCGTGGTTATGTTTCACCAGAACTAAGCTTTCTACATTCTTAACTTCTAAAAACCAGGACTCCTATATGAACTTACATTCAAAAGATGATCCAAATTCCTCATTGTCCTTAAAAGGTAGCTTGTCTGGATCTGAAAGTTCTCCTTGTTCTTCAAGTTCTGTCTGTCTTTGATGAAGACTAGATTGGAAGAATAAAATTCAAGGATGTCACGTTGAAGGAATATAAAACCCCAGAGCACAGGATGACGCAAACTCTTTGGGACTCAAACTGTTGCAGAAAAGCAGTTTTCCCTAGACTCACAGACAACAAGGGCTACACTGCAGTGGGCACCCCCCACGCACTGGCTGGGAGAGAAGTGCTACCCTCATCACCATGCTGTTCCCGGGAGCAGTTTATTTCTTTTTTTTTTTTTCCAACGTTTATTTATTTTTAGGACAGAGAGAGAAAGAGCATGAATGGGGGAGGGGCAGAGAGAGAGGGAGACACAGAATTGGAAGCAGGCTCCAGGCTCTGAGCCACCAGCCCAGAGCCTGACACGGGGCTCGAACTCGCGGACCGCGAGATCGTGACCTGGTTGAAGTCGGACGCTTAACCGACTGCGCCACCCAGGCGCCCCATGGGAGCAGTTTATTTCTTAAAGAACCCGAAAATGTTTTGAAAAACAATTGTGCACACTGCCAGCACGTGCCGGCTGAGAGTGCTACACTCCAAGCCCCCCGTAAACTAAAAAGCCCTCCCTCAGCACACGTGTCTCGTCTTTCTTTTTGGCTTTATTACAAGAGTGACCTAAAAAACCATTAACACAATTTAGGATAATAGGCACACGTGGCAATTTTCAACTCTGTACAGTAAAATGGAATCCACATGCAGAAGCCCAGAATGAAGGAGTCAGCATCTCCTGCCATGGGGACTAGGCATCAACAGGGGTCCCACAGGAGACCCGAATCCCAGACTGAGCCACCCACCCCTGTGCTCCTGAACACACCCACCCACGCCTGCTTAAGCAGTCGTACCCCAGGACCCACTACCAATTGAGGGTTTACTTCCATTATATGCAAATTGCAACTTAAGATCAGGAACAAGCCAAGGAGGTCCACTCTTCCCACTTGGACTCAACATAGTACCAGAAGTCCTAGCCACAGCAATCCGATGAGAAAAGGCATCCATGGGGCACCTGGGGGGGCTCAATCGGTTAAGCAGCTGACTTTGGCTCAGGTCATGAGCTCATGGTTCGTGAGTTCAGGCCCCGCGTTGGGCTCTGTGCTGACAGCTCAGAGCCTGGAGCCTGCTTCCGATTCTGTGTCTCCCTCTCTCTCTCTCTGTCCCTCCCCGACTTGTGCACATGCTCTCTCTTTCTCTGTCTCTCTCAAAAACAAACAAAGGCATCCACATTGGAAAGGAAGAAGTCAACGGTCACTCTCTGCAGACAACATGATCCTATCCATAGAAAACCCTAGAGACTCCACCAAAAAACTATTGGAATAAATGGATTCAGTGAAGTTGCAGGATAGAAAAATACCCAGAAATCAGTTGCATTTATGTACGCTATTAATGAAGTAGTACAAAAACATAAGTAACTCCATTTACGATTGCACCAAAAATAGTAAAATACCTAGAAATAAATCTAACCAAGGAGCTGAAAGACCTGTACTTGGAAAACTATACAACACTGATAAAAGAAACTGAAGAGGACACCAACAGAAAGCCAGTCCATGCTCATGGATTGTGAGAAGTAATGTTTTCAAATGTCCCTGCTACCCCAAGCAATCTACAGATTCAATGCAATCCCTATCGAAATACAAACAGCATTCTAAAAATAATCTTATAATGTTTATTTTTGAGAGAATGAGAGAGAATCCAAAGCAGGCTCCGGGCTCTGAACTGTGTACACAGAGCCCGACATGCGGCTGCAACCCACAAACTGTGAGATCATGACACAAGCCAAAGTCGGATGCTCAACTGACTGAGCCCCCTAGGTGCCCCCCCAACAGCATCTTTAATAAAACTCGAATACTAAGATTTGTATGGAGCCACAGAAGACCCCAAAGGGCCAAAGCAATCTTGAGAAAAAAGATCAAAGCTGGAGGGATCACAATCCCAGATTTCAAGATATGCTGGAAAGCTATAGTAATCAAAACCATATGGCACTGACAGAAATAGACACACACGTCCATCAAACAGAATAGAGAGCCCAAAAAGAAATTCAAGTTAATATGGCCCATTAATCTGACATACGAGGCAACAATGTACAATGGGGAAAGACAGCCTCTTCAGTAAATGATGCTGGGAAAACCGGACAGCTACATGCAAAACAAAGAAACTGGACCACTTTCTTATACCCAACACAAAAATCAACTCAAAAGAAGCTAAGGACCTAAACCTCAGACCTGAATCCATAGAAATCCTCAAAGCGAGCACAGGCAGGAATTTCTGTGACAGCAGCCTTCGCAACATTTTTCTAGGTAGGTCTCTTGAGGCAAAAGAAAAAAAAATAAACCACTGGGACTACATCAAAATAAAAAGCTTCTCCACAGCTTAAAAAAAAAAAAAAGCCATCACCAAACAAAAGGCATCCCACCGAACGGGAGAAGAGATTTGTAAACGATAAATCCAATGATGTCCAAAACACGTAGGGGCACCTGGCTGGCTCAGTCTGTTAAGTGTCAGACTCTTGCTTTTGGCTCAGGTCATGATATCACAGTCGTGAGATCAAGCTCTGTGTAGGGCTCTGTGCTGGCACGGAACCCGCTTAAGATTCTCTCTCCCTCTTCCTCTGCCCCTCTCCTACTCTCTCAAAAAAGAAAACTAAAATATGTAAAGCACTTATACAACTCAACACCAATAATCCAAATAATCCCACCAAAAAGGCCGGACTACCTGAAGAGACAGCTCCCAAAGACGACACGCAGATGGCAAAAAGACACAGGAAAAGATGCCCAACATCACTCATCATCAGGAAAACGCAAATTAAAACTACAAGGAGAGGGGCGCCTGGGTGGCTCAGTCGGTTAAGCGTCCGACTTCAGCTCAGGTCATGATCTCACGGTCTGTGAGTTCGAGCCCCACGTCAGGCTCTGTGCTGACAGCTCAGAGCCTGGAGCCTGTTTCAGATTCTGTGTCTCCCTCTCTCTCTGCCCCTCCCCTGTTCACGCTCTGTCTCTGTCTCAAAAATAAAAAAACGTTAAAACTACAAGGAGAGATCAGGTGACAGGTGTCAGAATGGCCAGAATCAAAACGCCAAGTACCACCAAGTGTTGGTGAGGGTGTAGAGAGAAAGGAACCCTCCAGCACTGTTGATGGGAAAGCCAAGTGGTGCAGCGACTGAAAAACAATACGGAGCTTCCTCAAACGATTAAAAATACAATTACCGGATCATCTAGCAATTCCACTCTTGGGTATTTATTCAAAGACAACAAATACTAATTTGCAGACATCTATGCACCCCTCTATTTACAGCAGCATTACTTACAATACCCAAGATCAGAAGCAACCCGAGGATCTACTGACTGAAGAATGGATAAAGAAACGTGGGTGTGTAAGCATGTATACACACACCTATACCTAGCGGGATATTAGCCATAATAAAGGATGCGATTTTTGCCATTTGCAACAACGTGCATGGACCTAGAGGGCATAATGCTAAATGAAATAAGTCAGACTGAGAAAGACAAATACCCTATGATTTCACTTCTATGTGGCATCTCAAGAATAAGTGAATAAGAAAGAGTAAGACCTCTAAATACAGAAAACAAACTGACAGTTGGGAGAGGGAGTGGAGGGGTGGGCAGAAGGGTGAAGGTGGGTGGGAGGTAAAGGCTTCCACTTAGGAAACGAGGAAGCCACAGGTATGAAAGGTACAGCACAGGGAATTCGCTCAAGGGGAGTCTAACAATACTGCATAGCAGCTACACTCGTGGGGAGCACAGCATAACATCCAGAGTCCAATCACTATCCTGTACACCTGAAACGAATCCAACATTGTGAGTCAACTATACTCGGGTCCAAAAAAAAAATTAGAACATTGTTTATATTTTAAATGCCGAAATATTTGAGTGACTAACAATGTGTGAAAATGTTTTCAACTTTTTTTTATATTTTTTAGAGAGACAGAGACACAGAATGAGCAGGGGAGGGGCACAGAGAGCAGGAGACCCAGAATCCGAAGCAGGCTCCAGGCTCCCAAGCTGTCAGCACAGAGCCCGACACAAGGCTCAAACTCAAACCGTGAGATCATGACCTGAGCCGAAGTCAGACACTTAACCGACTGAGCCCTCCAGGGGACCCAAAAATTGTTTTCAACTGCATTTGTTTTTGCATGTTTTGTACATTGGTTTTATCTTTGTAAACTGAGTCTACTCTTGCAACTATGAAGATGTTTATTGACCCCATCGTCTCTATTCTACACGCCAAGCTTGGCAAACCAGTAGAAATTACTTACTTGCTAAAAGGAGTTATTTTCTCCAAGCAGGTTATTTAGAGGATTCTCAAAGATCATACGTCATCTTACAATCTGATTACAAATTCTGTACTGCCACGTGGTCTTTCATATCCCCCAAACCCCCAACAAGTCCAGCGTGAGCCCGGTGAGGCTACCCAGAGTGGGTGTGGCCGAGGGGAAGGCGGGGTTACCTGGCCTGCTCCGGAGGGCTGGGCAGCAGGTGGAGGGAAGGGCTGTGCCCGGACTCAGAGGGTGATGGCTGGGGCGTTGTCTCAGGACCAGGACTGCAGCCAGCAGCACCGGATCTGTCCCCACCTAAGGGGCAGAAAGCTTGACCATTACAAATTGCAAGGAGAAGGTAGCAACGTCGTTTCTGAACAGTTCTGTTACCTTCAAAAAGCTAACATTACCCTTGCAAACAGTTGGGTAGGACACATAGATGATCTACCAAACTGATGATTCAAGCACCTAAATACAACTACAGCAGTGACAAACATGCAACTCACCAGAGGTAAAGGGAAAGCCACCAGTCACTCAGCACAGGTCTGCACACCAAGGAAAATGGTAAAATGGGACACTACCCCACTACCTCCCTCGGCATCCCCGCCCCGTGTGGGAGATGCCACCGTCAGCCAGACAAGGCAGGTTGAGACCAAGGACACGACTGCTGGAGCTCGGGCTCTGCCAGGCTCAGCTCCTGCTCCTTCCTGCCGTCCCGGGCTGCACTCTCACTCGGTTCAGAGGCCTTCTGAGCACCAGAAGCTTCCAAATACAGAGCACCCCGCAACCCTCTTGGCAGCTCACCTTCCAGATACACTTTAGCAAGGAGGCTGCTTTCGGCCTTTGGCAGCGGAGTGGAGGAGAGGCGTCTGGAGGGCATGCCCTCGCACGGCCGCGCCTCAGAAGCCGAAGCGCTGCTCCTGTCCTCCTCGGGTGTGCGTGCCAGAGGCTGCTCAGGGACAGCCGCGTCCTCTGCGGAAGTACGTCTTCCAGGGGAACCGGAAGTGGCCTTTTTGGGCGTTCCTGTCGCGTGCAGGGGTGGCGGGCTCTTGGCTGAAGACCTTCCCGTGGGGCGTGGATGAACTCTTGGATGGTAAGTTCGGAAAGCTTTCTCCAAACGCTCGGCCTCATCCTCTAGCTCTTTCACCCTTGCCTTGGTCTTGGCTACAAACTCCAGGTCAGAATCGGGGGAACTACTCCCGGTGCTCGCACTTGGGTCACTTGCGATCCTTGACAGAAGCATGCCTGCCGTCAGCCTTTCCAGTCCGAAAGCATCTTTCAAGAAATCCCCGTTCAGGTCACCATTGTGAGGTACCACCACGTCGCCACCCATTAATCCGCTGATGGGCCGATCGAGCAGAGAATTCTTTGGGTGGCGGTACACCTCGTTCTCTAGGGCTATGGGTTACAAAACGACAGTGTGAGAAAGGATGGGAAAAGGTGGAGGATAGAGTTAAAAGAGATCAAGAGCATTCTTTTGCAAAAATCAAAGTATTCAGGACAAACTCGCACATTCAACACTTTCTGAAGCTGCAGTCATGATCAACATTTATCAAGAGAGTGCATGTACCAGCTATGGCTTCACGGCCTGCTTTCTTCACGCAGAGGGGGGAGGGGGAGAGAGAAGTGGGGGGGGGGATACAGAATCCTAAGCAGGCTCCAGGCTGAGCTGTCGGCACAGAGCCTGACATGGGGCTCAATCCCACAACCGCAAGGTCATGACCTGAGCTGAAGTCAGACGCTTAACTGACTAAGCCACCCGGGTGCCCCAAGACAAGAGTTTTACTTGTAAGGTGACACATTTCTAAAGCTTTTCCCTACTGTGAGAATTACAACTTCACTGAATCATCTTCATTACGTGTTCCCAAGCATCAGAAGCTGCTCGCATTCTCTCCCACCTGTGCACCCTCACGCAAGTTAAAGAGGTCTCTAACCCGTCTGAGTTTGTTTCAGTTGCAATTTCAAATCATCCACCTGTCTCATTAATCTCTTTATGCAATCTTCGTAATCAAGGATCTGGGCCTTCAGCTGTGCAGAACGTTCAATCTGCCAAGATTTAGAGAAGGAAAAGAAATCCATGTAAAACCAATCACACAGCATACTTCCAAAGGCACAATTCTCTCATCGGGCTGATTTTCTTCATCAATTTGGCCAATTCTCGGCAGCCGGACACCCATCACCCCCGGGGTCCAGATGAAACAACAACAGAACCCACCAGCAAGCTCCACAGCTCCTTTTGCACTCCTCTCGAACAACAGCTACTCCAGCACAAGAGGCAGACGTCAGAAAGAGCATCAATACTGTTGCATCACAGGGGGGGGAATCAGCTACTTTTACCAGGGAGCACCAACAGGGATTGGAAAACTGCGTGTTTAGGGGGGTTTACTTTCCCCTCGGTTTTATTACTATGGGGAACCTAAGGTCACACAACAGCTTGAGAGTTTTCTCCAAGGACAAAGAACACTGGGGGAGTAATCAGCAGACTGGGGGCTCATTTCTGATGCCACCGGCTGACTGGTGCCGGTGTGGCGCACACCGAGTCCCCAGGCCCACAGAGCGGCCGCCCAGATGCCTGGGTGAGCCAGGCAGTACTCACTTCACTTTGCAGCTGCTTCTGCAGGTTCTGCCTGTGGATCTCGAACTCCTTATGCTCACACACGATAGCGTTCTCTGCTTTCTTTAGTTCTTTCTGAAAAGCCACCAGCTCTGGAGAAGGCTGAGCCAGGTCTGTGAAGGTAAAAAAGCCTGCTTGTCACCAGCCTCACGTTTTCTCGTTTCACCTAACCAAAGCAGCTCAAGAGGCTTTACGTTGTTCTTCCCTTTGTACATGATAGTAATTAAGGAGACTAAGAGCCATCTTAACTCACCAACTTCCCAACAAAAGAATTACTTTAAAAAAAAGTTTATTTAAGTTTACTTATTTTGAGAGAGAGGCCGAGCACGCGTACGCATACAAGCACTGAGGGACAGAGACAGGGAGAAAGAGAGAATCCCAAATAGGCTCCGCACTGTCAGTGCAGAGCCCGGCGCAAGGTCTCCAACTCATGAACTGCAAGATCATCACCTGAGCCAAAATCAAGAGTTAGTCACTTAACCGACTGAGCCACCCAGACGCCCCAGAACAAAATAATTTAATGCACGTGACTGCACACTTTACAGCTCTCCAGGATTGTACTCCCGGTAAAAGAATTCTTTCAAATCCAGAAATTAACATGAAAGCCCACCAATCTGCCCTAGTACGCACAGAAGGCACAGGAGGAACCTGTCAGAACCTGCCAACGAGTGCCCCGACGTCCAGTCCGACCTGGGCATCTGTCAGCAGCACTCAGGGTCCAGGCAGAAAGCAGATGGTGTCCCAGTTCGGGTCATTGGAAGATCCTTTACTAAAGGGACTCACATCGGGTAGCCACGAAGGACAGTGTAGTTCCCCGGGGTACCGGGGCCCTGTTGTCAACGCTCCTAGGGCCTGGAGGGTCAGAAGGGGAGGAATTCCCAGACCCGGAGACCGCGAGCAGGTACAGAGCCCTGAGAAGCCAAGGCCTGGGCTCCTGCCTGGCTGAGGCCCAGGGCCCGCCCCGGCCTACCGCACGGGAGGAGACGCGGAAGGGATCACAGCCACCTCGACCTCACTCTTTTCCCTCCCTCCAAGCACGGGAGTGTGTCCCCACTGGCCAAACCCAACCAGCATTCAGAGGGAAGGAGAGCCAAGGGCCACCCAGAGAGGCGTATTTATACAGTTGAAAACTTGTTAGTGACGCAATTTCGTGGCAGCGAGTGAAAAGAATGTACCTTCAATCCACGAAATTTGAGAAAATCTTCTCAACTGAAGCCTCCCTTATAGGACAGAGCAGTTTCGGAATACTGAGCCAGTGTCAATCACAAAGACAAGCCAATCCAGACAAGACTTACGGTTTAGAAGACGCAAGTTCTCACTTCTGGTCTCTTCCAGCTGTTGTTTAAGTAATTGATTTTGCGCCTGAAGCTCCTGTTTCCCTTGTTTCAGTAGCGAATAGTCACTCATTTCTTTCACCTTTTCTCTCAGCAGGTGGTTTTGCTTGCTTATCGCCAAAGACTGGGTTCTGACCGACTCTAACTCAAGCTGGAATCGAAACAGCAACACCTGTCTGAACAGTGGGTGGCTACAGTACCGCCTAAGTCCAGGCTGCCAAGCTGCCTGAGGCTGGGCGCCACGATTTAATGAAGGTCATCTGACCCAAGTCTGTTTCTCTGCAAGGAGACCCGAACCACAGCAGAAGTCCTCTCCTCAGAGGCAACTAAGGGCCCCCCAAATCAACCCCAGATTGCAGCAAGGCATTTCTTAAGTATCAAAGGGGGAGATCTCACTAACGCGCTGTGGGGTGCTTTCCTCTTAGTAGTACAATACAGCTCAAGTGTGGTTACAGAAGCCTACAGAGTTCTCTAATACACAAGTCCTTACAAACTATGTTCTCTGTCTAAAGTGCTACAAAACAGGCTACAAAAATAGGTTCTGTGCCTAACATTTTATGTACCTCAAGTTCCACCTCTGTCCTTCACACAGCACAGAAGTTTTTATTTTTTTTGAGAGAGGCAGAAAAAGAGAACGAGAGAGAGAGAGACACAGAATCCAAAGCAGACTCCAGGCTCCAAGCTGTCAGCACACAGCCAGACGCAGGACTCGAACCCATGAACTGTGAGATCACGACCTGAGCCGAAGTTGGATGCTTTAAACGACTGAGCCACCCAGGTGCCCCGCAAACACACAGCTTAATCCAAGTGAAGTAACAGTGGCATGTGAAAAGCGCATCTCATCGGGTTTTAAGCTGGGAGATCCTGACATCCTGACAGGAAGTCTTCCTGCCCTTGATGGGAAGGGAGAAGAGGCTGAGGTAGAAGCTAGTGCATACAAGCCGCGTACGACGTGCAAAACTCAGCTCCCCGAACTCCCTCCACAACCACGCATGGTGGGAACATCCCAGAGTTTACACAGGAGGAGTCTGAGGTCACAGAGCTTGCCCCAAGGCACACAAGCAGAAAGGGAGAGACACGGGATTCAGGCAGGGATCTAGGCCCCAAAGGACATCCTCTTGCTGTGCTTCCCCAGGAGACTAAGATGGAAACAAGTCCCAACACGCCAAGAGGACAACGTAAGATAAATCACGCAGGACTAAAGCTCTAGGTTCATATATTGCCTCATGTCGATTTCAAAACACAAGACTTCATTACCTCGAGCTCTTTGACACGTTTTACAGAATGACCAAATTCTTCCTTTTTCGCATTAATAGCTGTGAGCTCCTCTTGCAAATGTATAGCTTTTTCTGAAAGAAAAGAGCCAACCAATTAACATCAAGTTTTCCTAGTGAATACAAGTCGTTTAATAACTTATGGCCACTATGTCACACCTAACGACCATTATTTCATTATCTGAATAGCAGATGTCAAGGTCAAAACAAATCAGCAGCCAAGTAAGAAACAAGCCCCATTACTCAACATGTGACGGCAAGTAACTCTAACGGTCGAATACGCGGCAAGCCTAGTCCTGCTGCACAAAAGTCACCACTTACACCATCGGCTCTGAGCACAGGGCCCGCGCGCCGTCAGGTCAGAACTTCCTTAAAGACAGATTTGTCTGTTGGGATTCTGTATTTATGATTTTGTCATTTTCACTTCATCTAACACGGTCTATGGAGATGTAACATCAAAACCCTGACTTGCCAAACGCGTGACAGCACGGGTACATAGAAGTATCAGCCTCCACAGGCTAGCTGCGAGCAGATGTACACGGGGTGACCTGACCAGTCAGCATCAAGTGCTTAGCCTTGGTTTACTCCCAAGAGTCCATTTGAAATCGCCACTAGAAGTTTAACTTCTTTTCATCGACAAATTCCCAGAAATATATTAAGATGTCCAGCATCCCAAAGACTAAAAAATTATCCAGCTTTCCTACTCTTGAGCTAATATATTCAAGAATTTAAGGGATTATAGGTCAAGTAGGGGCGCCTGGGTCACTCAGTTGGTTAAGCATCCGACTCTTGGTTTTGGGTCAGATCGTCATCTCACAGTTCCAGGAGTTTGATCCCCGCATCTGTACTGATAGTGTGGAGCCTACTTGGGGTTCCTTTCTCTCTCAAATAAAAAAAAAAACTTACCAAGAAAAGATTCTATGTCACATGAAAATATCATGAAGCATACGAATACATTAGAAGTAGAAGAAATAAACTAGATCACAGGGACAGAGAAGTTACAATTTTCCGGAAGTAAAAATTGTAGTGTCTCGTGGTTAATAGTATTTACCCGATGGCAAAAAGTCGCTGCCACTTTCTTGATAGTCACATCTATCAAAATACACTGAAAGAAAGTTGGATAAAATCCTGCTGGTGAATCACTAACCTTTGCGAATATACGAAAGGTTAAAGGTGAAGATTCACAAAAATGTATTAAAAAACCAACTTTGTAAGATTAATAAAAACCATGTACTTTTTGCAGTAACACCAGGTGTAAACGATAGGTTTTTTTAGAATACAGAACAGGCACTCGCAAGCTAACAGCCTCTGTCACAGTGAACAGAGCTCGTCCCCAGAGTCACCTTTATTCTTCCTTTCATCTTCTATCAGCCTGTGAGTTCTAGCGATATAGTTGTCCTGGAATTCAAGTTGATACCTGCAGGTCAGAAAAACTAAAATGAGCTTGTCACTCTCCTGGATGGACTATCAATACCCGAGCTTATCTACGGGACCGGGGCACCGAAAGTGACCACGTGCAAACCTCAGACTCTCTCAGGAAGAGAGCCAAGGATCTGAATTCCAAACGTGAAAGGTCTGGAGAACTCTGTTGTGATCCTGTAAATTCGGTCCCCAAACTCAATCACACAAAACGAAGGGTCCTGTTGCTGCGAGGTCACCAAGCACAATTCTCTCTCCCTTGGTCTCGACCGACACCAAGAAGTCAATTAAGTTAAACTTCCGGTGTGCGTGACGGGCCCTAAATCCCAAATGATAACCAAGTCGGTCACTTGCAATTCACCTGTCCCGTCTCTCTTCCCTCAGGGAGGAACTTTGGCCCTTAGGGGCGGAGCACAGTCCTGACGGCCGACTGCCAACAGCAGGAGATCTGAATTAGAGACACCCAAAGGCTCATCTTACGGGGTTTCAGCCACCTCCACCAGCTGTTGCCAACTGACTTTGCGGTTGAGAGGTCAGAAAAAGCAGAGAGGCACTCCCATGATGTCCTCCCAAATTCAACACTGGCTGAACCATAGAAGGACACCCGAGGCCTCCAAGGACACACCAAGACAAACGATACCCAACAGTTCTCTGTATCCACGGCTATGCTGAATTCACATATACGTGTTTCATTTATTCTGCATTTAATGACTAGAGCTACTTCAGTGTTCACTAGTAGGTTAGAGGAGTGGACATAAAATATGTACCTAAAATCCACTGTTTCAAAAGTCATACAATGAAAATGGTGTTTAAGTTTTATTTTTAACTAGAGAGACAGAGACAGAATCCCTAACAGGCTCCACACTGTCCGCGCAGAGCCCGACGCGGTGCTCAAACTCACCAACCATGAGATCATGAACTGAGCCGAAGTCAGACGCTTAACCGACTGAGCCACCCAGATGCCCCCTACTAATCTTTAACAGCAGTTTTTAAAAACAACCTCCAGGGGAGCCTGGGTGGCTCAGCTGATTGAGCATCTGACTTTGGCTCTGGTCATGGTCTCATGGTTCATGAGTTTGAGCCCCGTGTCAGGCTCTGTGCTGACAGCTCAGAGCCTGGAGCCTGCTTCAGATTCTGGGTCTGTCTCCATCTCTCTCTCTCTCTCTCTCTCTCTCTGCCCCTCCCCTGCTCGTCCTCATTCTCTCAAAAGTAAAAGAGCCTCCAGAAACCTTTGCAGGTATGATGTAATGGCACAATGACAAATTAAGAGCAAGGCAATAAAAATGAGATCAATTACTAATAAATACCCTGAGAAGCCGAGTTGAATCCTCTCTTCACTACACATGCATTTACTCACTATTAACTGAGCACTTATTAATTTCAATGTTATGACTTCTTGGCTGTGCAAACTGAGCAAGTCGTAAAGTGCCCTAACAACTTAAAACAAACCACAGGCACTCAGGAAGTGTCAGAGAAGCTATGAGGAAGAATGAGAGATGCCTGGGTGGCTCAGTGTGTTGAGTGTCCAACTTTGGCTTAGGTCATGACCTTGTGGTTCAGGAGTTTGAGCCCTGTGTTGGGCTCTGAGCTGACAGTTCAGAGCCTGGAGCCTGCTTTGGATTCTGGGTCCCCCTCTCTCTGCCACTCCTCCTGCTTGCTCTCTCAAAAACAAATGCTAAAAACAATTTTTTTTTTTTTTTTTTGTCAAATGAGCAGAGCATGCTATTCTCTATCTTTTTAAACCCATCTTAAATGCTCACAGGAAAGGCTGGACTACCAATGACAACATAGATGTTTTTCAACCCTCAATTTTGCCATCAACCATCGGCTCTATCTACTTCATCAGTGTGGCCATGTTTCCAGCAACTTAATTCAGACACAGGATTTAACAAGGCCAAGCAATTACTTGAGCAGCTCATTCTTGAGCTTCTGGTCATAGGTCTCCTCAATACTCTGGACATTCAGCTCCCGTTTCCTAAGTGCATCGGTTGCTCTTTTATTTTTTTCTTCTTGTAGCCGCTGAGCCCTGCAATTAGCCAAAGAGAAAGAAAGCAGGTAAGAAAACCCCAACATCGGAAGTAACACATTTAGAGGGAAAGAGACACCTTGTGTTTTTAGCTCCAGAGTAAAACCTTCACAAGGCCTCCCTGCTGGGAAGTGAACTGAAAGAGCCAGAAGTCCCTCTACTTTACCAACTTTAGCTCATCAGCCAGCAGATGGCACCTGGCTAAGGGGACTGTCAATGTGTCGTGACCAAAGTGGTTTCTTACTTTTCTACACTTACAGGAGAAAACCCACACTCAAAAAGGGGGTACAGGGGATCAAGGGCCACAATCAACTGAGGGGTCAGAGAAGGATGCTTTTAGTTACAAAGCCACAAAGCCAAGTTTAGTGTACCTTAAGTGTTTGTTTCTTCTAGAATATTTCTTTTTTTTTTTTCAACGTTTATTTTTTTTGGGACAGAGAGAGACAGAGCATGAACGGGGGAGGGGCAGAGAGAGAGGGAGACACAGAATCGGAAACAGGCTCCAGGCTCTGAGCCATCAGCCCAGAGCCCGACGCGGGGCTCGAACTCACGGACCACGAGATCGTGACCTGGCTGAAGTCGGACGCTTAACCGACTGCGCCACCCAGGCGCCCCTAGAAGATTATTTCTAACTGTGAGTCTTAACTGATTGGCCCCTAACAATTAGAGGTACAAGAATCGTTTTTGGCATTCAATCATCTATTGACTGAAGAGGCCGAAAACAGAAGATGAGTCCATCAGAACCTCCAAATTCGAAGAATGGAGTGCTTTTCGTGGGGAGACCTTCAAACACCTACAAAAACAATTCCAGAGCCAGGAATCAGGTTCACAGGCAGTTAGACCAAACCACAGGGATGGGAGGGCTCCCGGCCAAGCATAAAGGCTTGGTGCTAGGGCTCCCTCTGCTGCCCCATCTGTACAGCAAAGGACGAGTAAATCCATTCACTTCACTGAATGTGCTTACAAGAGAGAAGCAGGGCAAACAGAGGTTCAAGAAGTGGTTACATAATCATGATTATACAATCCAGAATCTGCCCAAACTTTGTCCCTTTTCTTTTCTCTCACATTAGCAAACTGCCACTTGAGAATTTCCAAAGAGAGTAAGGTAGGAAGAAATCAAATGAACAGCACCTGCGTAAATGAAAAACATTAATAAAGACAAAGACAAACCTCTTAAATAAAATAGGGTTCCTGGAATATTTCGAGTTTCAAGACGCCAAATGGGAAAGAAAGCTTAATTCCACCAACTACAGACTGGGGAGCTTGCTCTTAATCCCAGCTGAGATATGAAGGAGGATACAGATGTGAGCACTTAGGGAAAGGAACACACACACCAAGAGAAATGGTTTCACCCAGGGGTGCCTGGGTGGCTCAGCGTGTGGCTAAGCGTCTGACTTTGGCTCAGGTCCTAACCGTGCGGTTCAGAAGTTCAAGCCCCTGGTCAGGCTCTGTGCTGACAGCCAAGAGCCTGGAGCCTGCTTCAGATTCTGTCTCCCTCTCTCTCTGCCCCTCCGCAATTGGTACTAAGAAAAAAAAAAAAAAAACAACCACCAGTAGTTTCTTTGCCCAGTAGGAGTCGAGTCAGAGCCACCGTCTTCCCCCTCCCCCGACAGCAGCAGTGCAGGAGAGGGCGGCAGGTCCGGGTATCTGGAATTGTTACTTTGCACACATGCAGCTACTGGATGTGAATGACTGGATGTAAGTGAGAAACATGGCATTTGTTCAAGCATTATCAGCTTCTTCAAGTCACGTGTCTGGTCATACTGTAGCCCGATGACGGCATCTCACTCTGCTTTTCATTCTAATGTGTACTAGTTCATAAGTGAAACCCTAGTCTTTCTCTTCATTTGTGCCTGCCTTTTAAAGCTAGGTGGGATCCCCTTTACAAGTGAACACTCCAACTGGCAGTTAACATCAGACTATTAAGACGTGTATTTAGTTCTTTTGAATCGTCATTCTGAATATCCCAAACGAACACACGTTACTCACAATTCAAAAGCTTCCATTCCTTGTTTCAGCTCTGCTTCTCTGCCTCTTAGCACGTCTATATCTTTGAGGAGAAGTTGTCTCTGAGCATAAATCTCCTTGGTTTCAATCTGTGTACAGAAGCATTAGTTTTCAGCAAGCAAGCTAAAGAAGATAGAACAGATCTGAACTAATATAGTGCTTCCTCAATTCCAGAGAACTACAGAGACTTAGGGTTACAATTTCACTTTCAAGAGGTTCCAATTCAGCATACTCTTTTTGCCCATTTAGCCACCCAAACATGCATTCCCTCCTTCAATGACTGTTTGGCCCCATTAGCATATATTCCTAACATCTCTGCTCTGTTTAATCTACCTAACGGACATCCCCCAGACACTTAACATTTCGACAAGTGCGTCAGCAAGAAAAGGACACGAAATGTGCATGTAGCAATAAAACTTCCAAAGAATAGAATGCCCCTGGTTCTGTCGTCTCAAAGTTTCAGTTCATAGGTCATTCTGACTCGGTTAACAAGGTGAATGAATGGGCCACACTTCCATTTGTGTGTTCGCTGAGCAAGGCTTCACGGAGTACCTGGCATGTGTCTAACAGCACACTCAGAACTAGAGGAAGACGAACAGATAGAGTTCCAATCTTTCCAAAATTCAGTTTAGTCAGGGAAAGAGAGAGAGAAATTATCACACTAGGATGTGATGACTTTTATAACTAAAATACTTCAGGACTGTGGCAGGAACAGGACCCTGAGTGAGTCAGTCAGGGAAGGCATTACAAGGAAGGGACACACAAGCTGGATTTGAAGGCCAAGAGGGTTTCATCAGGGGCACAAGAAAGGCATTGCAGGTAGTGGAAGAAAGCCAGGATGCTTGGCATGAGGATGGCCTTCTTGTCCAGAGCCTTAAGAGAATCAGCAAACTCAATGAATATTCTGGTCTGGTAACTGATCTGAACTAGCCAGTCACCCGTCTTGAGGATGCAGTTATTAACGTAAACATCCAATCGTCTCAAAGACAGTGGCTCCAACATTGATTTTTTTCTAAGAGCCCCATCACCAGAAACGGTACACGAAATCATAGGACATGACTGGGTCTTTCTGAGCAGTTGTAATCAAGGGTGGGCGCTGGGAGGGAGCCCTCCAACTTTCGAGGTCTCCACATAGCAGCGGTTCTGGCTGGACACAGCAGTGTCCCGAATCCAGGCTCGTCTAAGACAGCCCCTTGGGAAAGGAACCAGTTTTTCCTCAGAGTGGACCCCATCCCTCCTGCCACTCCTCGCCCTTTCCACTTCCTGTCCAGTCACTTTCCAGGAGAAATCGAATGGCCACCTTTCACAATCCTAGACTCCGCAATTCCAGGGACCCTCAACCCCTGTGACCCAAGGGCAGCATACTACATTTTGTTTCTAGTCTTCACGTGACATCTCAACCCGCAGCCCTGTCCTACGGGCCCACGCTTACTCTTCCATCCATCAGTGTCCCGACATCTTGTCCTGGAGGCCTCCGAGAACACCACACAGCCCTGTTTCCCCCCACCAACCCCCTGGGGTAGTAGCCGCCCACCATCCCCTCCGGCCCCTTTCACCACCCCGCCGAACCCCAATGTCCTCAAGAGGCTGCCCTTCTCAAGCCAAGTAAACTCAGCTCCGTCAGGTCCACTGCCCAAGCGCCTCGATCTTCCTGCCCTCGCTAACCTGACTGTACCACACCAACTGCCTACAGGCGCCTGGTTCGATCCACTTCGGCTGCGGGATGCCCGTGTCACTGCCAGGGCCTCCACACAGCTCCGCCAGTCCAGCCCGCTTCGGAGGGCTGTTCGGCCCCCACCCCCACACAGCCATTCCACACCGATCCTCTCCTCGAGGCTGCCCCCCGACCCTCCCATCTGCCCGAGAGGAGGGAGCGTATTCAGCGGGGAGTTTTGCCTGCTCCCAACATGGAAGCTAGCACCCGCGGTCCCTTCCTCCCAGCGCTCCAGGGGGAGGAAGTCTCCATAACCTTTATCAAGGCCAGTCCTACCACTTGTGCTCTTGACCTCCATCCCTCATACACCTGTAGGGCTTGATCTTGGCTAACCAACTGTCACAACCCACTCTAGGGCCTGAAGCCCATCTACAAACAGCCACAGGAAACAGACACCTGGCAAAGAACTGTGAAATCTTACCTCTTGGTGCTTCTGAATTCTCTCAAAAGCCAACTTCTCCCGAGAAATAAGGGCGTCAGATTTTGCTCGACAAGCTCTCTCCAATTCGTTCCGGAACTCAGCCAATTCCCTCTCAGACTTTCTTTTCTCTTCCATCTTAACTTTTGCTACTTCAGTATCTTTAAAATACTTTAACTGCCAATCGATCACCAATTATTGTAAATACCAAAACTATACTAAGAAAGTAACTTCTCTCTTCAGGGTTAGGTTTAACACTAATGCTCTAATATACTTAGTTTAACTCATTTTTACTTTCATCTCATTCATTATACGTGTAGGATTCACTCAAAAGGCATAAGAAATGACATCAGTTGGAAAGAAAAAGCATGCGTAACAGTGTATCACATTTGTTAATAAAAATTCTCTATTTTTCCCCCCCATACCCAAGATGAAGACATCACAGGACACCTGGGTGGCTCAGTTGGTGACACGTCTGACTTCTTGATTTCAGCTCAGTTCATGATCTCATGGTTCTTGAGCTCGAGCCCTGAGTCAGGTTCTATGCTGACAGCGTGGAGCCTGCTAAGGATTCTCTCTCACCTTCTCTGAGCCCCTCCCCTGCTTACATTTGCTCTTAAACTTTTTTTTTTTAAAGACATTCAAGACAAGCACAGGAACAAGATACAGCTCACCTTTTGACACATTTCTGCCCGAAGCTGCTGTTCTATTTCTCTTTTATATTCATTTAACTTTACTTCTAAGGATTCTAACTTTGGACGCTGAGGGTAAGCACCTGCAAACTGATCATCAATAAGCTGAAGCTTCTCCACTGTTAAAACAACAACATAGGAAATTAGCATAGGGAACTGTCGTCAGTTGAGCAAGAGGCTGGAGCTCTGTTCAAAAGCACAGAGTATACTTAGGGGCAACGGGAAGGATGTCTGCAATTTACTTTGAAACCCCACAAAATTAAGATGGATTAATGGATGGGTCGGATAAGCGATCAGGCAAGGAGGATACAAATTTACCGGGTAAGTCTAGGTATACAAGTGTTCACTGTACAACCGTTTCCACCATTCCTTACATTGGAAATTCTCACCATCCAATGTCAGGGGGAAAGAAAGCCAAGACTGCAACTTAAGTCAGAAAACACTGGCATCTCTTCCCAGTCCCTAAGTGCCAAGGCAGAGAGTGCTTTTATTGGACTGTGGTTAAAGTTGACTGACACGTTCAAAACACGGACCTTAAAATAAATCAAAGGTCACGTATTTTGACTCCTCTGCTTTGCAGAGAAGGAAGCAGATGCCCATATAGTTTAAATGAGTCCCAGAGGGCTAAGCAACTGTGTAAGGGCAGGACTGGGGCTGCAAGCTCGTCTTGCTGGGCTGTCATTCTAGTGCTCTCTCCAGTAGACCCACAGCCCCCACAACAGCTGAGGGCCAGCATCAACCAACCGCAAACCCGGACTTGCAGGATGAGCTCGATCGTGGAGAACACCACCCACCAAAAAGGATGCACCGGACAAGGCGGCTGACACAAGTAGTTTGAAGAGATTGGCAGCGTCCGTCTTTTTAGAGAACTTTCAACAGGTTTTCCATTTACTTTTCTGAGTTTTCCAAATGCTTTACAATTGTGTCGTCCAATACAGGACTCTCTAGCCACACGTGGCCACGGAGTACATGAAGTGGGACAAGTTCAAATTGAGAGGCGCTTTAAGTGTAAAGGACACACCAGGTTTCAAGGATGGAGTATGGAAATTTTATATAGAATAATCTCATTAATGTTTTCTGGATCAATTACATGTTGGAATCCTTTGGACATACTGGGTTAAATAAATTATATTAAAATAAATTCACCTGTTCCCCCCCCTCCCCCCATGGCTACTAGAAAATTAACAGTTACACATGTGGCTATTATTGGACAGTACTTCTCTAGAATAAGCATGTACCATGCTCCCAATGGAATAAAACCTAGGCCAAAATGAGGGCCTCATCCTATAGCTTATGTTTTACTAATAACAGACTTCTCTTTTTACTGGTTAGAAGTATTATTCTCCTTAAGACTCAGGAGGTGCCAAGAAACTGATTAATCATGTAATTTTAGAAAGATTTGGACTCTAGGGGTGCCTGGGTGGCTCAGTTGGTTAAGCGTCCAACTTCGGCTCAGGTCATGATCTCCCGGTTTAGGAGTTTGATCCCCGCGTCGTCATGATCTGTGCAGATAGCTCCAAGCCTGGGGCCTGCTTCAGATTCTGTGTCTCCCTTCCTCTGCCTATCTCCTGCTCATGCTCCCTCCCCCTCTCTCTCAAAAATAAGTTTTTAAAAATTAAAAAAAGAAAAAAAAATTCGGATTCTACTATCCATTCTGACCCAGAAGGAACATTTCCAAGTTGTGCTTCCTCTGGGGACCCCTATTTCCTCAGCTCTAAACCAAAGTGATATGCCACTGACTTCTCTAGTTTTCTCCACAAGGCACGCAGTCAAGGATTTCCTTAGTGGCCATAAATTCAAGTTAGAGGAAACCTAGCGAAGAACCTCCCAGTTATGAGAGGTTGAACCCAACACACAGAGAAGCACGTGGGCCTTCAGAGAGGGGAGGGTGGCGCGGGCGAGCAGTCCTGGCCGCCTCCCGCGAGGCTTCCAGAGGAAGCAGGCACCTGTGCCCCCTGCGGCTTGCACCCCTCCCAGTCAAGGAACAGACCCATAGTACAGCACATCAGGTCCTTTCCTTCACTTGAGGAGAAAACAAACATTAAAATTCTGAAGGAGAGCCAGTTACCAAGTGAGTCTTGGCCAGGCAATGTGGAACTTGTCTGAGTTCCCACATCACAGCTCGCTCTGGACTGACGATACTCTGCCACTTCTTTTAAAAACTCCATGAGAAAACCTACAAGACACAAAGCGCATAATACAGTTTCGGCGTGTAACTTTTTTCCTTTCAACCATTGCATCAACCCTGTTTCTAAGATCTTGGCTTTTATTTATTTATTTATTTATTTTTTTAATTTTTTTTTTCAACATTTATTTATTTTTGGGAAAGAGAGAGACAGAGCATGAACGGGGGAGGGGCAGAGAGAGAGGGAGACACAGAATCGGAAACAGGCTCCAGGCTTTGAGCCATCAGCCCAGAGCCTGACGCGGGGCTCGAACTCACGGACCGCGAGATCGTGACCTGGCTGAAGTCGGACGCTCAACCGACTGCGCCACCCAGGCGCCCCAAGATCTTGGCTTTTAAACATTATCCTTTCTTACATTCTAGATCTTCTAAGAATAATTTCTAAGGAAAGGCCTTTGCAAACATGACACACAACCTAGAAGCAATAACGAGCAGTATCAATCTCACCACATAAGAATTAGAAACCTAGATGGCACGAAATCAAGTCAAAAGACAAGTGATACACTGCAACAAAGTACTCGCGAGGATGTGGAGACAGGAGTAATTTTCATAATATCAAAGAGCTGTTACAAGTCAAAACAATGGGGAAATTAGACAAGACATGGACCAAGTTTATACAAAAAAAGTCAGGTAAACAGGATATAAACCAACAAACATTGCACTGCTGGTGGGAATGCACACTGGTGCAGCTGCTCTGAAGGACAGTGTGGAGGTTCCTCAAAAAACTAAAAATTAAACTACCCCATGACCCAGCAATTCCAATACTAGGTATTTATCCAAAGGACACAAAAATGCTGATTCATAGGGAGACACACGCACCCCGATGTTTACAGCAGCACTATCACCAACAGCCCAATTATGTAAAGAGCCCAAAGGTCCATCAACTGACAAAGAAGGTGGGGTGTGTGTGTGTGTGTGTGTGTGTGTGTGTGTGTAGTATTACACACAATGGAATATTACTTGGTGATCAAACAAGAATCAAATCTTTCCGTTTCCAACAACGTGAATGAAACTAGAGTGTATTATGGAAAGAGCCTAAATGTCCATCCACTGATGAATGGATAAAGAGGTTGTGGTTTGTATGTACAATAGAATACTACTTGGAAATGACAAAGAATGAAATCTGGCCTTTTGTAGCAACGTGGATGGAACTGGAGTGTTATGCTAAGTGAAATAAGTCATACAGAGAAAGACAGAGACTGTATGTTTTCACTCTCATGTGGATCCTGAGAAACTTGACAGAAGACCATGGGGGAGGGGAAGGAAAAAAAAAAAGTTAGGGAGGGAGCCAAATCATAACAGACTGAAAAACTGAGAATAAAGTGAGGGGTGGGAGGGAGGGGAAAGTGGGTGATGGGCATTGAGGAGGGCACCTGTTGGGATGAGCACTGGGTGTTGTATGGAAACCAATTTGACAATAAATTTCATATCAAAAAAATAAAAAAACTAGAGTGTATTATGCTAAGCTAAATAATCAGTCAGAGAAAGACCAATACATTATCTCACACACATGGAATTTAAGAAACAACACATGGACAAAGGGCAAGGGAAGGAGAAAGAAAATAAAAACACAAGGAGGCAAACCATCAGAGTGTTGGTTTTTTTTAAGTTTCTTTGGAGAGACCAAGTGCAAGTGGTGGCACAGAGACAGTGAGAGAGAACTTCCAGAAGGCCCCACACTGTCAGTGCAGACCCAGATGCGGGGCTCGAACTCACAAACCTAAGATTATGACTGGAGCTAAAACTAAGAGTCAGATGCTTAACCAACTGACAGAGCCACCCAGGTGCCCCAAGATTTTTTTTTTAATGTCTATTTTTGAGAAAGAGAAACATGGCACAAGTGAGGTGAGGGGCACAGAGAGGAAGTCAGAATCCCAAACAGGTTCTGCGCCATCAGCACAGAGCCCAATGCGGGGCTTGATCTCAGGACAGTGAGATCCTGACCTTAGCTAAAACCCAGAGTTGGACACTTAACCGAATGAGCCACCCAAGCACCCCACCATAAGAGATTCTTCACGACAGAACGGAGGGTGGCTGGAGGGGAGGTGGGTGGGGAGATGGGCTAAATGAGCGATGGGCAGGAAGGAGGACACTTGTTGGGACGAGCACTAGGTGTTGTATGTAAGTGATGCATCACTGGGTTCTACTCCTGAAATCAGTATTACACTCTCGGTTAACGAACTTCAATTCAAATAAAGTTTAAAAAAAAAAATAATAAAGGCTATAGATAAAAAACAGCTAACCTCATAATGTATGTAAACAACTGAGCGCTTCTAAGATCAGGAAAAACAAGGATGTCCTCTCTCACCACTTTGATTCAACATAGTACTCAAAGTCCTTACCACAGCCATTGGACAAAAAAACACCCAAATTGGTAAGAAGTAAAACTGTCACTATTTGCAGATGTCATGATAGTATACACAGAAAACTTCAAAGACTCCACCAAAAGACACTAGCACCGATAAATGAATTCAGTGATGTCACAGGATACAAAGTTAATATACAGAAATCTGTTGCACCTCTATACAGTAATAATCAAGTGGCAAAAAAAAAATGCCATTTACCACTGCACCAAAAAAAAAAAATTATACACACACACACACCTGTAAGTAAACCAAACCAAGGAGCTGAAAGACCTACACTATGAAAACCCTAAAACACGGATGAAAGAATCGAAGAGGACACCAACAGAAAATATTCTGTGCTCAGGGACTCAGAGAACCAGTATTGTTAACATGTCAATGTTACCCAAAGCAATTTACAGACGCCATGCAATCTCGGTCAAAATACCAACAGCATTTTTCACAGAACTAGACTACCACTAAAATTCGTATGGAACCACGAAAGACTCCTGAAGAGCCAAAACAACCTTGAGGTAAAAGAACAAAGCTGGAGATATCACAATTCCTGATTGCAAGATGTACCCCAAAGCTGTCGTAATCAAAACAGTAATGCAGTGGCACAACAGGCACATAGATGAACAGAGAGCCCAGAAATAAACCCACGCACGTATGGTCAATTAATCTACAACAAAGGAGGCAAGAGCATACACCAGGGGGATAAAGCAGTCTCTTCAGCAAATGGTGCTGGGGAAACTGGACGGCTACATGCAAAACAATAAAAGTGGACCACTTTTCTTACACCACACATAAAAATAAGCTCAAAATGAATTAAAGTCCTAAATGTGAGAGCTGAAATCACAAAATTCCTAGAAAACATAGGCAGTAATATCTTTGACATCAACTGTAGATCTGTGTTTTTCTAGATAGTTCTTGCTTCCTTCGCCTGAAGAGACCTAGCGGGACTACAAAATAGCGAGCTTTGGCACAGCAAAGAAAACCATCAACAAAACAAAAAGCAACCTACTGAATGGCAGAAGATATTTGTAAATGATCTATCCATTAAGGAGTTAATATCCAAAATATATAAAGGACTTCTACAATCCAACAAAAAACCAATCAACAAACGAGTCAAGGACCTGAATACACACTTTTCCAAAGATATTCAGATGGCCAACAGACTCACCAAAAAAAGGCTCAACATCACTCACCATTAGGGAAATGCAAATCAAAACCACAGTGAGAGATCACCTCACACCTATCAGAACAGCTAAAACCAAAAAACACAAGAAACTAATGCTGGTGAGGATGTGGAGAAAAAGGAGTCCTCTTGCACTGCTGGTGGGAATGCAAACTGGTGCAGCCACTGTGGAAAACAGTATGGAGGTTCCTCAAAAAGTTAAAAATAGGAGTGCCTGGGTGGCTCAGTTAAAGAACGTCTGACTCCATCTCAGCTCAGGTCATGATCTCACAGTTGTGAGATCGAGCCTCCTGTTGGGCTCCACACTGGGTGTGGAGCCTACTCGGGATTCTCTCTCCCCCTGTTCCTCCCCTGCTCACATGCATGTGCTCTACCCAAAGAAAAAAAAAAGTTAAAAATAGAATTACCATATGTTCCAGTAATTCCACTACTGGGTATCTGTGCAAAGAAAACGAACACTAACTTGAAATGACATATGCATCCCTAGGTTTACAGCAGCATTGTTTACAAGGGATAGATGTGGTATGTAAGTGTGTGTGCATACACGCACAGATGGGGACGCACAGACGGGGACGCACAGACAGGGACGCACAGACGGGGACGCACAGACACACACACACACACACAGTGGAATTATCACTCAGCCATAAGAACAAAACTGGGGTGCCTGGGTGGCTCCGTCAGTTAAGCATCCAACTTTGGCTTAGGTAATGATGGGTCTGTGGGGGCTGAAGCCTCACGTCAGGCTCTGTGCTGACAGCTCGGAGCCTGGAGCCTGCTTCAGATTCTGTGTGTCCCTCTCTCTCTGCCCCTCCCCCGCTCACGCTCAGTGTGTCTGTCGCTCTCGAAAATAAATACACATTAAATGAAAAGTTAGGAGCTTTAGGATCTTCCAACAGTCGAAAGGACTCAGCTTCTGCATGAACAAAGGTAAAGGCCTCCCACCTCCCTTTTCCCCAAGATTTCCAAGTCTGGTTTTCACTTCCTCTCATTAGACATACACTTGCAATTCGTCTCTGGCTCATCCGCTCATCCTCTTGCCCATTTCTTTTCCCCCCAGTCAGCCCATTGTCTCCTCACACCTTCCTGCTACTCTTATGCTCAGGCATGCCTGCTCTGCCTCTGGAGACACGGTTGACATGCCGCAGGAACGTTCTCGGAGATGCTGCAGTAGGGTCATCTTTCCAGAGGTGCTCCTCCCCCTCGCTCACCGTAACGGTCATCACTGTTTCCCAGGTCTGCAGGGCTTCTCGTGGGTCCTAACTGGTTCCACTTCCCCTCTCCCCTCCCTGTATGCATACCCCTCTGAGAAGGATTGCTCTGGTCTCCCATTTATTCAACTGTTCTAGCTTTGGCCCTTAGGAGCTCCTTCACAGTGCCTTTTACCCCCTTATTAAGCATTTCCCTATGTCTAGCATTAGACAACACTCCGGGCTCCTCTTGTGCCTTCTCTGCCCCAGTCCTAGAATCAGTCATCGCTCCAGGGAGCCCTGGTTCCTATTATGGAATGGTCTTCGAAACCCAATCTTAGTGTTCCAAACCGGGCACTAGGTGTGCACACAGTTACTAGGGTGTCCTTGCTTCTAGGCCCTCTCAGCCTGCACAAGGAAAGTTGAGTGTTCTACGAACCCGTGCAGATACATTGATCTATAGAGATCCTCTGCAGATGTATGAAGCTAAACCTGAGCTCACAGTGAGGGGTCTAACAAACCCACTATCACACACATCATTCTAGCCTCCTCCCCTTACCCAACTGTAAAATCACACTCTAACAGGGAGAAACTTGGCTCTCGCCCTCTACTATCCATTGTGTTAGTTGTCCAAATCCAGCATCCATGTACAATGGTTTCAGAGCAGTTAACCAGTACCCCCATGAGCCAGCTATCACTCCACATCCAGGGCCTATATACAGTTTCATTTGCCTTTAGTCATAAAATCTTCATTTCCAATGTTGATGAGCTCAGAATCGTTTCTTCTCCTGGGGGGGCGGGGGTTAGGACAGACCATTTTGTCACTGTCTGCAATCCATCCTGGGGCACCTGACCTCCTAAAATTGCATACATTAAGCTTCACCCTTTGTGCTAGGAGGTTCTACAGGCTCTGACCACTATAGTGCTATATAGATCCTACCACGGTCATAGGAAACACACTCGCTTAAGAAATTCCCTGTGCTTCACCTATTCAACCTTCCACACCCCCATTCCGCCAAATCCCTGGCAACCACTGATCCACTCAGCAGCTCTACACTTTTGCCTTTTTCAGAAAATCATATATGAAATCACGCAATATGTACCCTTTACGGACCGGCCCCTTTCCCTAACAAAATGCATTTAAAGGTAGTTTGTTTTTGCATGGATTAACAGTGCAAAATACCATCATCAAAATACTCATTAGTATTCCCTTGTCTGGATGCACCTCAGTTTCTTTATCCACCCCTCTTAGTGACATTGTGACTGCTCCCCGTTTCTGGCCATCACTATCAAGTACCACAAACATTCCTATTCGGGGATCTACGTGGACCTAAGTTTTCAAGTCAGTTGGGTAAATACCTAGGAGCATCACTGTTGGATGGGAAGAGTATGCTTAGCTTTGTAAGAAAACACCCATCTGTCAGAGTGGTTATACCATTTCTTAAGATCCCTTCAGGCCCCAAGTTTCCTTCCCACAGAGTTAAGCTACAGATACCCACTATATACCTGAGGCCCGTGCTATCCAGTATGACCACTATTCACGTGTGGCTACTGCAATTTAACAGTTCGTTAGCCACGTTTCAACCCTTCAACAGCCACACATGGCTAGCTCTATCAGATGCACAGGGATAGCCACGCACTACCGTATCAGATGGCACAGGGATAGCCATTCCCGTGACTACAGAAAATTTACATGGAACAGTACTGCCTCGGCATATAGAATACAGGATCACTTACCATACTCAACTTCAGTATGGATGCCCTACTTCGCAGGCACTCTAGGAGGTCTTGTGATCCGATTCACTCATCCTCTGCTGACATCACTCCCAAGAGACTAGGCAATTCAGTCACAGACTAATAGTTGGCAGAAGGTAAATACTCAAGTGTTTGCCGAATGCGAAGTTTGAAAAGAACACCCGACTGGGGATGATAGCAATGCCGGCGACAGACAAAACCCAGGGGCACACCAACACGAAAGGGCCGTTACATAACGTTACGGGTTATTCAAAAGACCTAAAGAATATGTATTACAGGCAAGTTACCAGCTGAAGTTCATGCTACGAAGCGCGTAGGCAAGTCCAGCCCACAGTCTGTACCCGTGGCAGTTATAGAATGGCCTCTAGGATGGTTCTTATCAAGGCCAAAATTAAAGCAGTTTACCAGGCCCATATCAACACTTAAGAAATATTTATGTAACACTTACTACTAACCAGTTATTTCATTCTTTAAGCAATTAATAATTTTTAAGTTGTACTTTATAGACATGTACTTTATCGAGGAGGAGATCTAGGATACAAAGATACCTAGAGCCTTAACACTGTCTGGGTGTGGGGCAATGTTCCCAACAGTGGGTATGTTTACAAAAAGTACCTTTCAGATCATTTGTGGGGCTGTATCAACTACTGTCTACAGTGGGTTTTTTGTGTGCGAGTATCTAAGAGCAATTAAGAGGACTGAAATTTGGAGAAGTGATGTACATTGGTCAAATTAGATCATTTTTTTTTTAAGAGCTAGGGTATTGGAGCACCTGGCTGGCTCAGATGGTGGGAGCGTGCCACTCCCACTGTCAGGGTTTTAAGTTCGAGCCCCATGTTAGGGGAAGAGATTACTTAAAAAAAAATAAAATCTGTAAACAAACAACAAAAAAAAGGTATTGTCACAGCATGGAAAATCAAATTCCAATTCAATTCCCTACTCTTACCCCTCAAGATTACTTTCAGAGTTTTACAAGATAAAGTACATGACAAAAATGTTGCTATTTTCTACATATATGAAGGCTCCTACCTTTTTTGTTTTTGTTATCAAATCCTGACATCTGTTGAAAGAAAATATTTTACCTTTATTCAACTGTTCAGTTACAATTAACAGACCAAGGCAGATTATAACAACTAAACAATCCTACCAGTGATTTGTAGAGACCGGATTCAGGGTTGATTTTGAGGAGTTCTAATAGATCTTGCATAGTAAATACCTTAAGGAAAAAAAAATCGAGCAGACATTTTACACTGATGTTTAAGCGATAAATTAGGATGTTCCTAAAGTTTAAGAATCACACTAACAATGTAAAACTGAAGCACTTTCTTATACTATTGATAACATATTCAAGTCATGAGGATAAAATATTTTTCCCCATCACAGAATTAACCTCCAAATACTTCACAAAGATAATGGGTCTAACAAATGGTTAATGCCTGACAGATTACACTCAAATATCTGATGAACCAACAAATACATGTGTGAATCCCAGGGTCTTTCAATGGTAATCAAGTTTTTAAAATACTACTGGTTCAAAATACCAAGTTTTACCGTCTTTACAACCATGACTGACAAAAGCCTATCTAAAATAGTTTTAAACATTTTGGGTGGCTATTCTTAATCTGTATTTCTACTACAACACGCATCATGTACTAGGACTTCCCTCGGAACACTGACAGGGTTTTCCTTTCAGGAAAATATTCTGCACAGCATTTTATAGTAAACACCTTTAAGTATATGAGCAGGTTATCTATTGCCGGAACAGCTATGTAACTGCCTATTACTCATGCAACATGCCCAACTGGGTCATGTAGTTAGAAACTTCAGGGCACCTGGCTGGCTCAGTCGGTAGAACACGTGACACTTGTTCTCGGGGTCTTGAGTTCAAGCCCCACGTTAGGCACAGAGCTTCCTTTAAACAAACAACAGGGGCTCCTGAGTGGCTCGGTCTGTTAAGCATCTGACTTCGGCTCAGGTCATGAGGTCACAGTCCCTGGGTTCGAGCCCCGTGTCAGGTTTTGCGCTGACGGCCCGGAGCGTGCTAGGGGTTCTCAATCTTCCTCTGTCCCTCCCCAGCTTGTGTGTGCACGCGCGCTCTCTTATGCTCTCTCAGATATAAACTTTAAAAAGTAACAAAAAAGCTTAAAGATTGAGGGACCCAAAAAGAACTCCTAATGTTAATAAAATTTGGCCGTTAACAAAGCATTTTAAGATTCTCAAATACTAACACTGTTCTTATTTTGTTAAAACCTCTTAATAGGAAGCTTTTGGACAATTATCGACAAGATCAGGAGTAAAAACACAGAGCCAACACCAACCATTAAACTATGGACTTCAGTGAAGATGTGACCATGTAGGTCCCACTGTGGAAATGTATCTAATTATGTTGCTAGTAGGGCAGGCTGTGCACGAGTGGGGTACCTTCCTTTCTGCTCATTTTTGCTCTGAACCTCAAGTGCTCTAAAAAAATTAAGTCTATTAAAAAAAATAGGCAGTTTGCTGTATCAACCCTTAAAATCAAGCAGGGCTAGATTTTTCTACCATTCCCATTGAACAGAAAGTCATCAGGAAAGTGGTAAAAACAGGTGTTTTAGTATTTGAGCGTGCCACAGATTTTTATAAATGATTGTACCCTTCACTTCTCTAGTGTAATCCCAAGGAATCTAAGTATCTGAAGAGACTTAGTAAAAAGAGCATGTTTTAGAGATCTAGATTTACTGCCCAGCATCATTATTTACAAATCATATGACCTTGAACAAACTACTTCACCTCTCCAGAGGCTGGTTCCTCCTCCACAATGCAGAGGATACCTGTGGTGTCGCCACGACGGTGACAAGCTTCCAACAGTCAACATAAATGGCAACTCTGCATCTTAGACTACACAGATCGGGAGACCAATTCTAGCTCCAAAACTTAGTGACTGCGCATCATGATCTTACCCAAGACTAACGGAGCTTCCATGGAATTGGTAACGATATACCATCAAGTTTAGTACTCCTTTGCTCCTTTACAGAATGTAGGACGGGAACTCAAAGATGAGGGAGAAATGGACGTAGCTAGCCAAGGAACACTCGGCTATTATGCAGCACTTAACTATTACCTAGAAAGAAGCTATTAACAGAAAATTCAAAAACAGAAGACTCAACACTTTACCTTTTCTTTGGCCACACCAGTTTCCGAAAAGAAAACAGAAAGCGAATACTCATAGCCACATCTCTTCAAGTGATCTGCCACCAGAGAGTTAGAGGTGCCTATCAGGAGGGCACTCCCTTCCACTGGAACGGACTGGGGCTGCACCTCTCTGTTCACGACAGAGTGCATCAATTCCTGAATCAGCTGCTTCCGGAGTTGTGTCTAGCTCAAACAACCAAAACCAAACAGGAGGGAAAACGTTTTGAGCAGAATCGCTCAACCGGAGTTATACAGGATTGACCCATGCATTAGAATCCTCATTTCCAGTATGGTTCTAGGTCCAGGACCCAAAGTCAGGAGCCTTCCCCTGTACATGGTCTTACCCTGTGACACAAGTAGCCCACGGGGTTCTGAAAAAGAAACTTGTTTCACAGCTTCTGAGCTCAACGGGTGGTCAGCCAAACGGAGGCAGATTCTAACTTCACTTCCCCAGGAGCCCATCTCAGCATTTTTTAAATCAGGCTATCAAGTAGAGGAGACAATTCTGCCCATTTCTCACCTCTGTGGACTGTTGGAACGTACGAAAATATCGGGCATATTGGTTAAAATAAAGTTGAGTTCCCATAAGGGAAATCACATATGCAAGTGAAATGAGTCAACCCCAAAACTTACTAAGATGTACTTTCGCATCGAGTATTTACATCTCAAGACACTCAAGTACAGGAATTCTCACTTTGTAAGTGAGAAAATTAGGGTTCAAAAGTAGGTCAGTTTCTCAAGGTTTTAACACTAACGTTATTCATTTGGGCTTTAACAAAATTCCCTAAGTTACTCAGACTACTGGTATTTGTTCTCCTGTTTTGCATATCATCTGGAAACCTACAATCGGACTGAGTTTAAGAGTATGCTGCCTGGGGGGGGGGGGATGGGCTAAATGGGTAAGGGGCACTAAGCAATCTACTCCTATAATCATTGTTGCACTATATGCTAACTAATTTGGATGTAAATTTTAAAAAATAATTTAAAATTAAAGAAAAAAAAAAAAAGTACGCTGCCTGGGGGGGCACCTGGTAGCTCAGTCGGTTAAGCGTCCGACTTCAGCTCAGGTCATGATCTCACGGTTCCTGAGTTCCAGCCCCGTGTCGGGCTCTGTGCTGACAGCTCAGAGCCTGAAGCCTGCTTCGGATTCTGTGTCTCCCTCTTTCTGCCCCTCCCCACTCATGCTCTGTGGCTCTCAAAAATAAACATTACAAAAAGATAGTAAAAAAAAAAACAAAGTATGCCACCTAGACTTGTGGGATTCAGCAATAAATATTCCCTATCAATTCATATTAATAGAATCCAAGAAACCAATTGAGTTCTTGTACCTCTTTTATCCTTCAGCTCAAGGGTAGAACGGTAGGTCATTACCAGTACAGAACAGGACTTAGTACACATCTCAAGTCCCGCAGTAAAACAAGACATTTTTACTCAGAGTACACATGCCCTGCTTCATCTAGGGTAGTCAGTAACAGAAATAGAACGAGAAATTATAGCATCCTCCACCAGTAAAATTTAGAGGTGATTTAATGAGGTTTATAACATACTGAGTAACCTATTTAGACCCAGCTTCATTAATATAATGATTTAGGGGGTCTTGCACACAAGTACTAAAATAGGATAAAATTTAGAGGAGGAATAGAAGCAGGAAATAAAACTAAGGTGGGTGGGGGGAGAAGAGGGCATTACAGATGAATCCCCAACTCAACAAACACAAAAGCACGCCAACCAGCCCTTGCTGGAAGGAATTGCAAAACTGGCCGGGAGCTCTCCAGCAGCCAATGAGAAGAGGGAAATCCATTCAGAATTAATGTTCCTACAACAGAAGTAAGTACAATTATTGTGGGTGAGGAAGAGTAGGGACTTGTGGATCCTCAGTATATCTGCCTCACAAGTTAACAGTAGACTCAAAGTAAGGAACAAGAGTTGATAAAGCCCATTTAAGAGATCCAACTTTGTACTTCACCGCAAATACAAATTCTTTTCAAATACCCAAAGGGAATGTGAATTAGGCCACTAAAAAATTCAGTGGGTTTTAAGAATTAAAACTCACTCAGGCCACAGTCATTGAATGCAGAAAATAAAAATGACCTTAGACTTAGGAGGTAAAAATCTGTCTTGCCATTGGTTAGACTGGAATAATAGAACCTGACAGCCAGCTGCAAAAAAGCAAACAGTAGGTCTCCAGCAGATACACTCCATTTGTAAAGTGAGCAAGGCTAGCATAATCCTGATACCAAACCCAAACTGGGACAGCTTAAAAAGGTTCAGGACAGATTAGTATCAGTTGTGACTCCAGATCTGAAATAAAACACCCACAAATCAAATCCAGAAGTAGCGTTAAGAGAAAATATGGCTTGGCCAGGAATCCAAGGACCATGCCACATTAGAAAGCGTATTAATGCATCATATAGGACAATTCCAAGTGGGTTAAAGATTTAACGGTTAAAAAAAAAGGGGGGGGCTCTTTAAAAACTTAAGAAGTGAATATCCATTTTAGTGGAGAAGAACTGAGAATAATCAGCAAAAAAATAACAGATCTGGCCATATGAAAAATATAACATCAGGATTTTTAGAACCAAGTTAAAATTGAACACCGAGATAATGTACTGCTGCAAAACTGGAACACAGGTTAAGTTTCTATTAAAAGAAAACACCTCAGGGGGGATGGGCAAGGAACAGAAGTTGCCAATCCACAAAAAAACATGAATATCCAGAAAATATGTGCAACCTCAATAATCAAAGGAATATTAAAATAAGGGTTTTCTGGGGCACCTGGGTGGCTGCGGTGGTTGGGCATCCAAGTTTGATTCAAGTCATGATCGCACCATTCCCAGATTTGAGCCCCAAATCAGGCTCTGTGCTGAAGGCTCAGAGCCTGGAACCGATTTTAGATTTTGTCTCTGTCTGCCCCTCGCCCGCTCAAAAATAAGCATTAAAGAAGATTTTTAAAATAAGGGTTTTCCAATGTTTAAAAAAAAAAGTCATTGTAGCATTCAAGAAATAAGCATTACCAAGTTGCTGGTGAAATATATACTATTACTACCTTTCTAGAAAAAGACTCATACCAGGAGCCTTAAAACTGCTCATCCTTTTGAGTCAGTAATGCCACTTAACCTATCCTAGACCAAAAAAAGACAATTGAAGGAATGTGTACACCTGGGTAGAAGGTACATCTTCAACAGGGGCCTGCTACATAAATTACCCACACATTCAGACAGGCCTGTTATCATTGAAAATGAGGATTTCAAGAAACTTTCCAGGACACAGGAAAATGTTCACCAATAACATTAAAAAGGAGGGGTGCCTGGCAGGCTCAGAGGGTGGGACTCCGAGTCTCTGGTTTGTGGGTTCGAGCCCTGCATTGGGTATAGAGATTACTTAAAAATAAAATCTTTAAAAAACAAAACCACAATTAGTGTATGACAGATGACTTTCCTCCATGTTTTTTCTCTCCCAGTTGAATCTAAAGGTTGAGGTTACCAAAACAATGAGGGAGAAAGATTTTTTAAGAAGCTCACTTTTCCCTAGTTTGACTTTTTGAATATAAAATATACTTTTGAAATGTATACAATGAAAACACGTGAGCCAATCCTACTCCTTGCTGTTCATACCATGTGTACTAATATTTGCCGCCCAAATACTAATACATTTCAATCCACTTTAAGGGAAGAAATTTCTCATTCCCTAAATTATTCTATGGTAAGCAGTACAATGTTTCCTGCAGAATGCCAATATCCCTCGTTCAAAAGGGAGTACTATTACAAAATCACTTAGTCATTCAGGACTTGCAAGCTAGATTTAAAAACCAAGTCCAACTTTACCAAAATGTGTTCCTTTTATAGTTACCTGCCACTACCTTAATGTCAGTCCAGTAAATCTATTATTTGAATAAGCCCTTTTAAGACGGCTCAAACTCTACACCATCTTCAAGACTTCTGTTCCAGAACAAAGAGTTTTACAGGAACGTACAAAGGTAACTCACCAATACAACCTATGTCCTAGTTTTAAAACCCAAAACCTGGATAGGTTTCAATGGGGACTACCTGTTACAGATTACACTCGTCAAAGTTATGTGACAGGCCCAAAACAGATACCTTGAGTGTGTCCAGTATACCCCGATCCTTAAACGTCTGGTATAGCTTTTTTCGCAGTTCATCTGGACGCAACACGTCAGATGTGGAGGGCATGGCGAACTGGAAGAAAGAATGGTTACGGGTTACCCGGCGGGAGGAGGAACCATGAATTTCTGACGACAGACCAGTGGCCTCCGGGGAAACCCTAAGAGGCCAAGCGGGGAGAAGGAGGAGGAAAAAAGCTATAAAGAAAGCAAACAAGAGGCCACGTTTCCCCTGGTCCCCGAGGAGGAGGCCAGTGTAGGTACCTGAGACATCAGGCGCCGGCTTCGCCGCGAAGCCCCCTCCAGCCCGGTCTGCCTCGGCCCAAGTTGGCAGCCAGCCCTAGCTGCACGCTCAGGACGAGGCGAACCCCTGCCTTCTAAGCCCATGCTCCGCCTGGGTGCGGGGGAAAAAGGAAGGCAGTCGGGAACGACAAAACCGTTCAACGGTTTAATCGGCCTCCCGCTCTGAACCAGGAACTCTGGCAAACACGCACTTCCTTTCCCCCGAGGTTCTCACGGGTGGGCGGGGCCGCGGTTCACGCGCGGCTTTCCCACGCAGCTGGAGGGCGGGGACCGGTAGTGAGGCAACAAGAGAAAACAAAGTACGACTAGGGTTCGCCCGGCTCAGCGCCGATCCCGCCCCTCCCCGACGCTGCCAAGCCCAACGGCCGTTGCCTGGAGGACCAGAGCGCACGCGCGTTGCCGCGCGGTCCTCTGACCGGAAGTCCCTCCCACTTCTCGTGAGACCTCAACCGCGCAGTCTCGCGAGCATTGCCCAGGGAGTTCCCATAGAGGCTGCCGAGCGCGGGTCTGCGGCGGGAGCGGAGTGGCGGTTTCCGTCGTCAGCTTCTCCCAGCAGGTAGGGAATGGAGTAAGTAGGGGGCGGGAGCTCCCAAGGACGTTTCGGGGCCCGCGTGACGCGGGTCTTGGCCTGGTCCCCCCCCACCCCGCCCGCGGGCAGCCGGGCCGGATCTGGTCAGCCCCGGGGCGGCTGAGCTTATCACAGGCCGCCCGGCCAGGGCACATCGCGTTTCGGCCTGCAGGCCTCGGCCAGCTCAGGAGCTTGGCTCCATCTTGCCTTTTTGTAGGTCATTCAGCTAATCGGATTTGGTTTTGTTTACGAGGGTACTGTTGTCGTTTGGAGCTGGAAAATTCATCGTGGGCCCTGTCATGTGAGAGGAAGGGTTTAGTCCTCTCAAAGGCAGCCTGGTAGTTCTATTTTAATTGTTGGAAAGTGCTCAGTAACATTGACCCAAAGGAGTTTCCACTTGGCCTCAAAGGAGCAGCCCAAGACTCGGCCTCCGGCGCGATTTGAAAGATCTGTTTAGTCCAGAGTTAAGTACGTGGCACTCTCGTAGCGCACTGCCCTTTCCCAAACCTCCAGAAGATGTGGATCATTGATCACAGCTAGCTTTCGTGCTAGAACTTTGTCTCCATGTTAAGTCAGCACCAGGTCCCGGCAGTCACTACTGGTTAATGAGAACCGCACCAGCAGGGGCCAATTTGCCATCCCTAGTCAAATCTTTGCTTTGAGATGGCATCTATTCTATTCGATGGTAAGCTCCTGCTCTTTCTCACTCTCCACCCCCAGAAAGGTCTTCCCCTCCCCCCCCTCAGCTTAGACATCCTCTGTTCCTGCACTAGCTCTTTCCAGAGCATTCCTTCCAACCCAGTTCAAAGTTTTTAGAGGAAGACTGCACTAGTGGGGAGGAGCTGAGAGAGGGAGACAAAAATTCCAAGCAGGCTCCGCACGGTCAGCAGAGCCCGATCCCATGAAACCATGGGATTGTGATCTGAGCCAAAGTCAAGAGTCAGAGGCTTAACCGACTGAGCCACCCGGCAGCCTCTTTAAAAAAAAAAAAAAAAGGGGGGGGGGACGCCTGGGTGGCGCAGTCGGTTAAGCGTCCGACTTCAGCCAGGTCACGATCTCGCGCTCCGTGAGTTCGAGCCCCGCGTCGGGCTCTGGGCTGATGGCTCAGAGCCTGGAGCCTGTTTCTGATTCTGTGTCTCCCTCTCTGCCCCTCCCCCGTTCATGCTCTGTTTCTGTCCCAAAAAAATAAACAAACGTTAAAAAAAAAAATTAAAAAAAAAAGTCATGCTTTGGGGGGCGCCCAAGCGGCTCAGTTAAGCTAATGACTCTTGATTTAGGTACAGCTCATCATCCCAAGGCTGTGAGCTCTAGCCCCATGCCGGAGGTCGGGCTTTGCACAGGGTGTGGAGCTTGCCTAACGTTTTCTGTTCCCCTCCCCTGCGTGCAGGCACATTCTAGAGAAACACACACACACACACACACACACACACACACACACACACACACACACACGAAAAATGGTTGAAAATCATGCTGATTCAGCAGACCTGCATCTGGTTACTTCTGTACCAGGTGACCTTTCTTCCCTTTTCTTTTTTTTTTTCTTTTTTTTTTTTTAATTAAATTTTTTTTTTTCAACGTTTATTTATTTTTGGGACAGAGAGAGACAGAGCATGAACGGGGGAGGGGCAGAGAGAGAGGGAGACACAGAATCGGAAACAGGCTCCAGGCTCCGAGCCATCCGCCCAGAGCCTGACGTGGGGCTCGAACTCACGGACCGCGAGATCGTGACCTGGCTGAAGTCGGACGCTTAACCGACTACGCCACCCAGGCGCCCCTCTTCCCTTTTCTTGATGGTAGTCTAAGGTGACTTGTTTTTCTAACCGGACACATTCCCATTCGTTTTGTGCTTTTGCCCTTCTGATGCCAGCCTCACAGATTTGTGGTCTCTTTTTTTTTTTTTTTTTTAATTTTTTTTTTCAACGTTTATTTATTTTTGGGACAGAGAGACACAGAGCATGAACGGGGGAGGGGCAGAGAGAGAGGGAGGCACAGAATCGGAAACAGGCTCCAGGCTCTGAGCCATCAGCCCAGAGCCCGACGCGGGGCTCGAACTCACGGACCGCGAGATCGTGACCTGGCTGAAGTCGGACGCTTAACCGACTACGCCACCCAGGTGCCCCTGTGGTCTCATTTTTATGTTAAAAAAGGGCTGGGGCCCCCGGGTGGCTCAGTCGGTTGTGTGTCCGACTTCGGCTCAGGTCATGATCTCATGGTCCGTGGGTTTGAGCCCCACATCGGGCTCTGTGCAAACAGCCCAGAGCCTGCTTCGGATTTTGTCTCCCGCTCTCTGCCCCTCCCCCCCCACTCATGCGGTCTCTCAAAAAAAATGAACGTTAATAAAAAGAAAAGTTAAAAAGAAAGGCGGGGGGGGGGTGCGGCACTAAGGTTTAGATAACCTGTACACCTAGCTTGGGACTTGAACTCACAACCTTGAGATGAAGAGTCGCTCGCTCCTCCAGCCAAGCCAGCTAGGCACCCCATCATCGCCCTAGTTCTTCCATCACGTAGACACCCTCTCTCCGTTCAAGGTAGTGCAGAGCTTTTTGTTACCACTACATTAATTTTAGTTGTCCGTCTCCGGAGCAGCTCAGGTCAGCATAGCCATCAGTGACGGCTGCTGTTCGCACCCCGGGGAGAGTCCAGTCTCTGGTCATGGAGGGTTTCTTGATGAGCGCCTCAACCTCAGCTTCATACAAAGGTGCAGTTATTTCATCACGACTTCTGTTAGGCCTCTAAGACCAGGAGGAGGGCCTCAGCACTAGAACATTCAGAAGATTCTTTGCTGCGTCGAGGCTAGTTAATCCCGGCCTGCCTCTTGTTCTCGTGTTTTCAGCTTTGCCTGACCGCTCGCAGCTGTTGTCCCTACCCGCGCAGTTCCCCCCTGCAGGCGTGGAGCCCTTCCTACGTACCGGGCTCCCCTGCAGGCGTGAGGGATGGGTGCTGGGAGACAGACACAGCCTCCGTTCTCTACGTCATCGTCCCCCAGCTGCCTAAGTAGCTTCCCCTTGCCGCACCCGAGCCCCTCATTCCCCTCCCTTGGGCCTTTCCCACAGTGCTTTGAAAGCTTCCTCCCGTGGTAAGCGAACTCCCTCCGTCCTCAGTCTCCCTATACAACGCACCTACCTTCTGCTAGCACTTCGAGTATTTCCTTTTTTTCACTCCTGTAGGCTTTTCAGCCTTGACGTCTGTTTTCTGCTCCTGAACAAATCCTCCCCAGTTGAGCGGTTTCACCGACGTGAATTTATTCTTCCAGTTCCGTAGCAGCCTAGAAGTCCAGCACGGGCCTCCCCGGGCTGGAATCCGGGTATCCGCAGGGCTGTGCTCCCCTCTGGAGCAGGAAGCGGGGCTCTCTTTGTGCTTTCCAACTTCTCGAGGCCGCGCGCGTTCCTTGGCTCCCGGCTCTTTCTTCTATCTTCAGCCCCGCCAGCGTGGCGTCTTCGTGCCCCTCCTTCTGACTTTTCGAGTGGGCCTCTCTCTTCCACTTTTAAAGAGCATTGTAATTATATTGGGCCCACCTGGCTCCTCCAGGTTCCTTTCCCGATCTTGAAGTCAGCTGACGAGCGCCCTCAGTTCCACCTGCAGCTTTCATTCCCCTCTGCCCGTACATTAGCACTCGCAGGTTTTCGAGATTAGGATGTGGACACCGAGGGGCGTGCTGTTCTGCCTTCCAGCACATGTTTAGAAGCGACGTGTTCGTTTCATCCCTCTTTTTTCCCTTTCCTATTTCCTTTCTTGGCGAATAGACTCATCTTGATATTCTGCTTGATCATCTCTGTCAGGCATTTGGGAACATCCTTGGTTCTTGCCGCTTCCTCAGTTCCCCAGTTTAATCCGTTGCCAAGTTCCGTGTAGCCATTTCCTCCACACCCCGAGACCTAGTCGTCCTTGGAGATGCTTGAAGGGCCCCTGTTTTGGGTGATGGGAAAATCGAGCAGACACACACACACGGCAGTTGCTTTATTTGTATTACATACTGTAGCTCTAAGTAATACTTGCTTTGCGGATGTAGGGAAGGTTGAAGAGGTTGCAAAGCTTTAAAAACGTTTCAAATCACTGTTCTAGAGCTGCACCGTCCAATACAGAAGCCACTAAACACATGTGGCCTTTTAAATTAATGAAAATTAAGTGAAGTTCCAGATTCAGTCTTGCAGACACAGTAGCCATCAGCGGCTACCACATCGGACGATGCAGACATAAAACATCCACCCCGCCGCCCCACCCCCCCGAAACTTGAGTGTATCAGCACAGAATTCTAAAGTGCGTCTCCCTTTTGCCTACCACCTGGGCATAATAAGCCTCAAATATTAAAGGAGTAACCTTCCAGTTCTTCCCATAGAATCCGGTAGTTACAGTACTCCTTCAGCTGCTGTGAAATTCTTGGCAGTTCAAGTTCTGCCCAGCGGGACGGTTTGCGACATAACCTTCATGTGGTTATGGTTCCTTCGGTCCCCTTTCTGTTTATCCTCACCCTGTACGGATACTCTGCAGGTATAGGAATGAGGCTTAGCTTCCTTCTACGTGTATAGTGTGCTGCTGCTGCTTAAGTGTTCGTACCGAACGAATTAAGCCCTTCCCTTGGCACACTCTAGCCGTGAAACCTGTTGCAGTTAATGAGATCATTGTCGACTTTGTTGACATTTCCAGCTCCCATCCCCCTTCCCCTTGAGAATTTCTTTCTTTTGAGAATCACTGCTGATTCTCCTGGTTCTGCGTAGCTTTTATAGCATTCCTGCTT